GTGTCTTAGCCACCCTGGCGCCTAAGAGAGAGCCCACGGGGACAGCCCTCTTCATGCTAGTGAACTGCTGCCTATGACTGGGATGCTTTGCTCCCCGGCTCCCGCAGCGGAGCCTCCCTGTGCCAGAGGCTGCCCGGCTGCTGGGTGTGTCCCGGGAGCCCTGCGGTCCAACCGGGCCTTCAGGCTCCATGAAAGAATGTGTCTTTCAATCCGTTCGTTCACTTCTTTAATCATTCATTCAGTTAGCAAATATTGCATCTGCTTATGTGCTGGGGACCATGCCAGGCCCTGGGACACAAAGGCGAGCGAGGCAGCCATGTCCTGTTTGGGAACAGCCTGCAGGCTAGCATTCTCTCTCATCTTCCTGCAGAAAGCCCCCTGCTTGGTAGTGAAGGAATGACAAAAACAGAACGGTCTTCTCCCAACCCCTGCAAATCAAGTCAAAGAGAATTACGAGGGGGGAACAACAATATCAAAACAACGGAATGACCTTCTGGAGGGTGGGCCCCTTGTAGTCCAGGCTTCCCCCCACTAGGTGAGTGTCCCAGGAACCCATCGGTATCAGTGCACCAGCTGGCGTTGTTGTGAGAGGCTGCGTTCGACTTAAGGGAATTTCTTTTGAAGACTCTTTCAACATGTTTGCCCATTTCATGATGGGTGATTTACGAGTGCACCTGCCCACACCATGCTGACTGTTCAGCAGTTTTCGACCAAAATCGGCATGACCCCCATGCCCTGTCTTCCCTATTCACTCAGTCTTGCCCCAAGAGACCTTTTTGTGCCCCAAGTGACCACAGCGTTTGGCTGATGTGGAAGAGGTGAAACAAAAACTGGCAGAAGCACTAAATTAAAGCATCAAAATCGACACATTCAGAAACTGTGGAAAAAAATGCCTCAGTAGGTGTATTGCATCAAATGGAGAGGACTTCAAAGGTGACTGAAGTTTAAACACGTAGGAATAGATACACAATTTTTTATAAATACATTCCATTTTGGGGGGGGGTCCCTCCTCATACAGCAATGAAATGGCTCCCTAAAGCTCCTCTGGATGCTCAGAATTTCAGGGCTTTGTCTACTTAAAGGCAAGTGAGGAACTCCCTTTGGGGGCTGGTTTCAGACAGGGGTGCTCTGGCTGCCTCGGAAGGACCTGGCCCGCACAGAATACCTTTAATACGGCGGTGGATGGTCTGCTGTCAGGGTCTGGGAATTGCTTCCTTAGCTCCACGCAATGCTTACAGGGTCTGGCTCCCCGTAGGCTCAGTGAACATTCATTGACTTTGTCAACATCTGCGTCTTTAACAAGAGAATCAGAGCACTCGCTTTGTGCAAAATACTCCACCCAGTTGAGCGAAGAGCAGCAGAACATTGAAAAAATTGGACTTAGTTTTCTTAGAGAATGAACCAGCTATGTAAAACATGTCCTGGCAAAAGCCTGCAATGGGTTGTTTTTGCTGCGGAATAAAGGTGCCTCCTGACGGCTCTCTCAGTGAATGGGGGAACCGTGTTTTCCTGTCTTGGTGGCCGGTGTGGCCCCCCCCCAGGCACTGTCATCAAAAGGGACTAGATAGGGGCAGAGGATGTTTCTCCTCGTTCACATCTCTTAGCATCTCTTCTCGTGGCCGCTGGAATTTTGAGCAGGTCTCCTTCGTGAGGATAAGTAGCCTTTAAAATAAAAATCCATTAATTCCAGGAAGACAAGAGTCTTGATTGGGGTAAAAAAGGCAAGAGAGGGACCAGGCCCACCTCTCTCTGGGCTTGATTATTTGAAAAATGTCATTTTATCCAACCACGACCCCTTCTCCCTACTAATATCGTGCCCCTAGTCAAAATGGTCAGCGCACAAGGTCAGGAATAGGAGGCGGTGAGAATTCATAGAACTCTCTCAATGACCTTCCCTTCCTCTCAGGAATCCATGAATAACTCAGCGAACAGCATCCTTTTCCCTAGAGAATGAGGGGCCAGGGAGAAGCAGCTCCCATTACCAAAGGAGGAGGGTGGATTTCCAGGGTTTCAACGTTGGAGACCATCTGTTAAGGCAGGGTGAATGGAGACCCCTGCGTGTCTCAAATCATCATTGGAATGTCAGTAAAGATCTGATACCACAGTAAATGAACTCACACCGAGGCAGGTTGACATCGTCTCAAAATGAGCGGCCTGGAGGTCTGCCATAGACACAGGAACAGGGAAGTTGGGGAGAGTGTGACTTTAGCCTGATCTGTTACCCAGAGTGGAGGTGTTTCTGGCCAGGGGGAAGGGAGAGGAAGCCCGTTCTGGCGAGAGGAAGGGGCAGGCGCCCTTGCTTCTTGCTGTCCCTCCTGAGCCCCTCTCCCCTGGGCGCCATGGGGAGTCAGCTTCACCACCTTAATGAGGGGACATCCGCTGGCTTCCGATGGCCGTGGGTCAAGCAGGAGCTGTGCACTGTTAGCGTTTTCACTGAGGGTCATGGGCATCCCCGTCCCCGTCCCCTTGCCCTCAAAGCCACAAAGCACCTTCTCACGGTTCCTAAATCTCCAAGGCGGGGCTGGCTGGGCGGGGGGCCTGCGATCCTCACCTGGGCACCGTTTGGGTTACGTGCTAACTCGGGTAACAGAAGTTTACTACTTCTTGGTGTTTCATAATTCAACTAACTAATTTTCTGTTATTTAAGCAAAAAAAAAAAAGAAAGAAAGAAATCCTCTCCCATTCTCGTCTAACATTTCTTTCCTCCAAAAGACAACCACAGTCTCAAACTGCGGAATCACACTCTCAATTCTTCAGACTGACTCAGACATTCAGACACTGTTGATATTTCCCACAGCTTGCAAAGACAAATGCTGCTTGTATTTTAATTTTCTCGAAGACCTGAAACAGGGCGGCAGGTCAGAGGGGATAAAAAGTGTGCGGTACAAAGTCCCCAAACCCTCACACTTTTTTGGGGCTCAAGTTGTTACCATGTAGAAAAACAAATTGAATCTCTTAAAAAAATAATTATGAAACTTTTCAGGTATGCAGGAAAGTATGAATATAACAAATACCCCTGAGCTAACTATTTAATATAAGAAATCAAACGTGACCCATATGAAGTTCCCTCTATACCTCTCCCCACCCCATACCAGATAACAACTCTCCTGAAGTTGTTATATCATTCTCACACTTTACTACGACTTTTTTGTACATGTTTTTTAAGCTTCATAGAAACAATATATACAATATGCACACACACCATATATAATTTGCATTCATCTGCAATTTGCTTTTTCCTGTCTATAATCATGAAATTCTACATGGACACACACACCCCCAAATTTGTATGATATCACACACATACAACCCATGTGCACATTGCAATTTACTCATCCAATAGAAAAATGACCAAATCGTTCTACTCCCTATTAATCTATAAAAGACTTATGACTCATTCATATCTGTGACAAAACTTGGTTTTACCATTATGAGACTGTAAGTTTTGCAATTCGATAGGTGAAGGGCAGCCTCGTAGAGGTTGTACTTTGTTTTTCTGGTTACTTGTGAGATTAAAGCATGTTTATTAGGTATTCTATTTTCAGCGTCTTTGAATAGTCTTTTGATATCTTTTGATCATTTATCTACAGGGAGGTTGTGTTTGTTTTTCTCATTACCTTATAGGAGTTCTTTGTGTATTATGAATGCCCATGCTTTCTCAGTTTTGTGCAAATATTTTCCCTTAGTCTGATTTGTCTGTATACTTTGTGTAAGGTGAGTTTTTTGGTGCACAGATGTTTTGAGTTTTAATGTAGTTAAATTTTATCAGGTCTTTTGGTTTGTCCAGATCTTGTCCAACAAGTACATCTCCGTGACGGTAGCCTCCCATGTTTTCATCTAAAGGTCCCATGTTTTGCATTTCACGTTTAGTTCTTCACTCAGTCGGGGATTAATTTTGTCTTTGGTATGAGTCAGGGGTCCATGTTCTTCCATTTGGAAAACCAGTCGTCCCAGTTCCATTCATTGGCCACTTCAGCCCTTCCCCCCGACCTTTCAAGGCCATTCTCGTCTGTCATCTATCAAGTGCTGGGCTCTCTGCCATGTGCCATTGGTCTGTTTGTCTGTCCCTGGCTGAAAACCACGCTGTCTTAATTTCTATAATTTTATAAAGGCGTTGACAATAAAGCAATGTCCTCCACCTCATTCTTCTTCAAAATTATTTTGGCCATTTGGGGGCACAGAACTCTCTTTCTCAAGTTCTCCCTGGCCAGGGACAAGTAATCAAACAGCAGGACAATATAGCAGAAGGGAAAAATCAAGCCCTGAAGAACACAGAAGCTGAATATTTATCTCGTAAATGAATTAGTTTCTAATAAATTGCGGTGTAGTGATGGTTACAGAAAGCCCATATGAAATAAATGATTTGTTTACAAAAACAAAACATAAAAAAAAATTTGGGCTGTAGCAAGGGTCATTTAAAAAAAGAAACTAGATTCTTGACCCGCGGCTCAGTGGGTTGGGCCTCATCCGGCAAAGCAAAAGGTTGTCCATTGGATTCCCAGCGAGAGCACATGCCTGGGTCGCAAGTTCAGTCCCCAGTCTGGGCGTGTTCCGGAGGCGACCCATCGATGCCTCTCTCCCACACTGATGTTTCTGCCCCTCTCTTTCTCCCTCCCTACCCCTCTCTCGAAAAGTAAATAAAATCTGTAAAAAAAAATATAAAAACGAGAAACCATCCTCTTGTCAATACCAACCTTCTTGCCTTTATATTTAAAAATATTACGTTTAAGCATATTTTTGCATGCAGGCTGTCCCAGAGAGTTCTATAAAATAGGGCTAAAACTGCACATTTGCTGCTGGGCTCTCGCTGAGCACCCAAATTCAAGGTCTCACTGTCCCAGAGACTCCCGAGGGAGGGGGAGGGGGAATGGGGGGGCGGCGCATGCGCTAAGCCGTCCTCGCAGGAAGCACACTTCCTCCCAGTCCGGGGAGACGTGCATTCCTGCAATGGCCTCCTGGGCGTTTCCGTACCCACACGCTGACTACTTGGTGTCCTCCAGTGTCTTCACATCCAGACCCTCTTATACGGAGCGCAGGACAGGAGGACTCTGGCCACACAGCAGTCCGTGGACGTCCTATCCCGGTGAGTCGGCCTCCCGTTGCGCGGCCTCCGGGGCTGCTCGCGCCTTTGTCGTTCAGAGCCTCCGCGGAGGCCCGTCCTGCGGGTGCTGTGGAACCCAGCGCGGCAGGTGTCGCCAACGGCCTTCCCATCACTCATTCACTGTGCCAGGCCAGCTGCTCGGAAAACCCACTTGTAAAATGCCTTCCCTGCCCGGATATCGGGACGGAATTAGCTCCTGTGTAAAGTCCGAAATGCGAGCTGACAACCTTCGCCCGCGGACCAGCGGGTCACTCGTCCTGCGGGGGCCGCGGCTCAGAGCACTGCGTGGCCTGCTGGAACCTGCCACGGGCTTCCCTGCGCCCTTGGGGTGCCTGTCGGGTGGGAACCCGAGTGCCCGCTGGCCTCTCCCCGCAGCCTGACCCCACGTCCTCTCAGCCCCGAGCAGAGGCCCGCGCTGGACCGCGGAGGCTCCCACCTCCCCAAGCCCGGTCCCCGCAGGCCCTGGGCTGACTGCCCAGTCCGCGCTCCGGGCAGCTGCAGAGCCGCGCGCAGCCGGCAGGGGGCGTTGTGTTTGCGCCAGGCCCTTGCCCCTGAGGCCTCCCGCCCAGCCTCGCAGCTCTTGCTCTGCGCGCTGAGCCCGCTAAGGGTTGACCGTCTGGGCTCAGCGAGAATGGCCACAGGAACTGGAAAGCTCTAGAAAACACCCTGTGTTTTATGTTCCGGGGCCACGACTCTCCTCTCAGCCACCTACCCTGTTGAGGCTCCTTCATGGCGCTGCTAGGTCTGTGCTCCCTGCCGCCAAGGCTGGGGGACCCCAGGTGGAGGCGTGGGGGCGCCGCACTCATCACCCTCTGCTTGTTGGCAGGGCCCCCGAGGTGGCTGGGAAGCTGCGGCAGGTCCCAAGAGCCAAGCCCGCCTTCTGCACCGGCGCGGCCCAGCACCCTGCGCTGGGGAAGGCGAGGCCCCACGCCGTGGACTGAGAGCCCGCCTCGCCCCGGCCGAAGCTCCGGTCGCGCCCGGGGGCTGGCTGGACGCCACGGCACCTAGAGAGTGGGTCACGCTGTCACTGCAGATTTCTAAGGCTGGCTGTGTGACGCCATGGATGCCCCCCCACCCCCGCCCTGGAGGCATGTGTGGACAGCGGACGACCTCTCAGGGTGAGCTGGAGCTTCTGTAAAGCATTTTGTAAATGCTTTCTTCTTCTTGCCAACAAAAACTTACCCAGCAGCACTGCCGTGGCTGAAAAGCTGCTCTTGAAAAGCTGAGTACTTCCTGTGCAGGAAAAGAGCCCCAACGCCTGACAGTACATACCGTACATACCCCCCCGCACAGGTCTGGGGTCAGATGGGAAGCAAATTCTGGAGAAGGCCTGTCATTGAGGAAGGTAATAGGGATTGCAAATGAAATGCTAATAAAAGGAGACTTGAAAGCGCTGGGGTCGGTGTGTGCGCACTGCTGTTTCTTCTCTCCCCTCCCTGGCCCCGCCCCCCCCCCCCCCCCCCCCCATGAGCTGCAGCCCAACAAGGCCTCAGGCTGGTGCTGAAGGACAGCAGCGTGCCGCATGGGCACCCTTCCAGCCAGAGCCCAGGAGGGACCCCCAACCGTCATGGCTTCATTTGTGCAGGAGGCCACCTCAAGAATCAGTGGTGGGACCAAACCCAGAAGACCCGTGACAGGGCAGAGAGAGGCAGGGCCCTTGTCCTCCTCAGGCACGTGACAGCAACCACACAAGCCACACTCCTTCCCTCCCCACCCACCCCAGACGGGCCTACGGAGTGAAGACAGTGTGCAGGGAAGAGGGGGGAGAGGTCCCCACTCACCAAGTGTCCCGCCTGGTTGAAGACATACATGGGTTCTGCTGTGCATGGTGAGAACAGGAATTTGCACACATGCCACATGGGAGTCTGCCGAGGACCGAATGCATGTGTCCCTCTGAAATTCGTATGTTGAAGCCCTAATCCCCAATGTGAGAGGATTTGGAGGTGGGTCTCTGGAGAGTAATGGGTCCATGAGTTTGCACCCCGTGAGGGGGATTAGCGCCCTTACAAGAAGAGACAGGAGAGGGGGTCTCTCCCCACCACGCGGGCACACAGCAGGAAGGCGGCTGCCTGCACACCGGGAAGAGAGCCTCCACCAAGGACCAAGCTATCAGCACTTTGACCTTGGGCCACCCCCTCCAGAGCTGCGAGGAATAAATGTGCGTTGTTTAAGCCTCCCTGTCTGTGGTATTCTGTTATAGCAGCCTGAGCCGACGAATAGTCTGTTGTTACATTCTCTTCTTTGTATTTCTTGGAGCATAATAGCTTGGAATCGCAGGAACTAAAACACATTTTGGAAAATGCAGCCACCACCTGGGAAAGAATGAATTTTGGAATATTGTACCAAATATCACCCATCTATTAACTGTGTTCATTCCAACAAGAGAGGAAGACAATTGCTATTTGTGGATTTTTTTTTTTTTTTTTTTTTTGGTAAAAGGTTACAAACAGGTAAGGGCATCTAACTATTCCTCTGTCCTGATTTTAGCAATGAAGGTCCCATGTCCCAGGCAAATGGGATGGTCAGTCTTCTCCTGGCCCCGCCTTCCCGGCCGTGACGATAGCATTCTCGCACCAACTGTCCAGGCCGTATTTGAACACAGGCCAGCTGGTCTGGGCTCTGCCTGCCATGCTTTCTGGTTCTGCGCAAACAGCATCAAGTTCTGGTTTGAGCAGCGAGTGAAAGCACTGGGCCTTCTCCCATGCATTCTCCCCAGTAACTCCATGCCATCATGTAAAACACATGTAAACACACATGTTTCAATTAGGGTTTAAATAGAAAACACAGCACTTCCTGGAAAAACATTCATTCCCTTCAGGAGCAAAGTGAGGTTTTGGGTTTTTTTCCTTCGATTTTTATTTTTACACATTCTTGTGACATTTCCCTTTGTAAAGAACAGGAGATTGGCAAAATAAGCTTTTTAGATGATTCCATTCTAAACATACATTTTAAACAAACATCAAAACAACCAGTGGGAAGGTGCGCAACACTCCGTTAATACTGTTCTTCTAAACAACAATAAATAGGGGAAGACTGTGCCCTCCCCCCCAAATGACGACAGAGCTGATTCCTATTGTCTCCGGAGGGACAGGGTTTGAAGGGCACAAAGCTGGAGGGTGGCCTGTCCCAGTGTTCAGGATGCACCCAGTTCCCAGGTGACCAGATTCAGTAACCGTGGGCAGCTCATGACTCCGCATTGCTAAACACTCCTGGCAGGTACTTCTCAAAGAGACGGCAACACAGAGATGGGAATTCGGATCGCAGATGTTTATTTTTCCGAAGAGGAGCGGATCACAATATTAATGTGCGCACGTTAGCACCCGCTTCCAAGGCCGTGAGCTACGGCAGTGGCATGGAACGAAGCCACGCAGACACACCTCATCGGCTCCACATCATCAGCCTGTACATCCATCAGAACAGGAGGCTGCTGCCCTGACCAAATTCTCTCCGATAAATCCCTCGTGCAAACACCGTTACAATCACAGCTAACGCAGTCAGCGCGCCTTGCACTGCATTAGAAAGGAGAAGTCCTGGTTTGCAAAGCCCTCACCTCCCTGGCCGGTTGGTGCCAACCACTAGTTCATTTGGTAGGCGACAAAGCCATTCAAATCTATTTCCTATTCCCAATTCGCAGTGTTTTTCAACGCGATCACCCCAAAAGCTGTGCTACGTTTTCCCTCCACTCATCAATAGAGAAAACGAACTCTTCCTAAGCTTCCTGCTGTAACCATTTCTCGGCGCTGAGGAGACGTGCATCTTAGGAGTCCAAGGGCTGTCATGGGGAACCTGGAGGGAAGCACCTCAAATGCCATACTCACCCCTCTTTCATCATAACCCACCCAAGGGCGACAGAACCATGATGATGATTATCTGTGCACTGCAGGCAGTTCTATGATACTGTGTTAGAGGCAGCGTAGTTTACACAATGTTTATGCCAAAGACTAATTGGGATTAAAATACTGCTGTGCTGTTGAGGATACTAGATCTAACATGAGGCTGCACCTTTAAAGATGGAAGCTTTAAAAACAATAGCCTTGTGTAAAATAAAACGGATCCACCAGAACACGCTCATTCCATTATCTGAAACGCAGTGGCATAGATCTGCGGGTCCCCATGCTGGGGACCACGGGAGCAGCCTCTGCAGTCTTGCAGGTCCTTTTCTGGGGGCTTCACTGCTGGGCGATGGGAGAGGCCCCCACTCTGTTCCCCCAAACACCTTATCCTAGTTCCCGCGTTCTTCATTTTCTCAGACAAAACCACCCCCTGGTAATGACTCCCATTGAAAGTGCAAAAATGTCTGTGTTGGTTGTCATTTTTCATCTCTCCCTCTTGGAGCTCAGAGACACACCCACCGCGTTGGCGGTGGGCGGAGAAGGGCTCCTTCTGTTGCGGGGCGGGGGGGGGGGGCGCCCTTCACCCCAGGCTTCCGATTTCACCACCCACAGCCCAGGCGGCCTTCCAACATCAACATTCCCTTTCCTGGCTTCGGGGTCTGCTTCCCACCAGTGATGTTAAATGTTTCCGTGCTGAGAGCAAAAGCGCAGAGAAGTTCAAATACCCCCTGACAAGAGCTGGCAACTCCAGAGCTTAGGTCGTGGCCAAAGAAGAATCTTTAGAGCTAGTGCCACAGGGAAGAAATGGTACCGCGAGTGACTTGTAACAATCGCTTCCCCTGCACACGGGTCCTGGGAAGGTCCTCGGAACCTGGGCCAACATAGCACAAGCCTGATCTGAAATGCCACTCTAGGCTGGAGCTATGCTCTCCATAAATAAAGTGCTATATTGTTTAAAAGTTCTGCGCATAGAAAGCAATTCATTTACATCTTAAAGTGAATTTAGCTCTATGACAAGTACCTTTTTTCCTAAGAGTGAAAGCATTTAGATTTCTCCTAATTAGTAAGCAGTCTGCTCATTTCCTCAGATTTCTTGTTGAAAAGACTTCAGAAAGGGAGAAAAACGTATTGATTTTTTTTTTTTTCTCCTTAAAAGGTTAGTTGACTGTTTCTTATTAGCACATGCAGGTAAATTTACTCTTTAATACTAAGTAACTTTAGCCTGGTTACTGTTTAGGCCGCTTACCTAAAGTTCAAACCAATGCCAGGCATTTCTGTGACCAGGTGTGAACTGGTACAAACTGTCTCTAGGAGTGAAAACTCCACACACACCAAAAAAAACAACTTTTAAGACAAAAAAAGATACAAAGTATTTCTGCAAAAGTCCCAACTCAAAAAGCAAATCCCAACGCCTTTTAAGGCGTGAATCAATTCAAAACCTTTACAGGTTGTAAAGTAAGTTGACCTCGCCTGGGACACTCTTTGGAGAAATTAAAAAGAAGGGGGAGGTTTTCCTAAAGAGTGGGTGCCGCCCCCTTAAGTAAAGGCCTTCGCGTGTTGGCATGCTGCGCAATCAGATACCATTTCAAATATTCATCAAAACCAATGCCCCTCCTCATCCTCCCCCTGATTGTCTAGGTAGAGGACGGCCACTTTCTTTTCATCCGAGACCACCGACCTCTGGTCTACCATTCTCTGTAGCTGCACCGTCTTATCAAACGGAGCCTGCCCCTGGCCCTGAGCGCTCGGGCTGACCGCCCCATCACCCCTACGGCCCGCATTTCTCCAGGCTCCACTACGAGCTTCCGCTCCCGTCCCTGCGGGGAGGAGGACTGTGCCCTCTGGGGTCCAGCTGGGGGTCGCTTCGAGGTGACTCACGTCCATCTGAAAGGTAAACGACGTTTCTTTGGGCCCCAGCGCGATGTGCCGTAGCGTCCCGCTCTCTGCTGACTCGCCCTGCGCAGGGGCGTCCCTGGAACCGGTGAGGCCCGGTACTTGGGAAACAGGCCCAGGGAAGACAATGCGTTCAGAGGTTTGTGTTTCTGTAAGGCCCAGCTGAACGTGCCTGAAGGATCTGCCCGTGCCCAGCGTCTCTTCTGCCCCTGACGTGTCTCTCCCGCCAGCCTCCTGAGGAGGCTGGGACCCGGCCCCTTGGAAGGCTCCCTCCAGAGTCACCGGGACTGTCCTCCCCACAGAGTACCCGTGAGCTGCCCAGGTCCCGTCTGCTGAGCCCTCTCCCCGGGCGCCGCTCTCCGAGCTGCTCAGCTCCCCAGGCCGCAGAACTACGTGCTCGGTGGTCTGCAGCCTCTGAGAGCCAACTGTAATGTGCCTGCTGGATGTGCCGGTCCCCAACCACTCTCGGACGCCCAACTCCACTGGGTCTGAAAGGGGCACTGCGACCTGGATTTGCTCTCCGAACCCCTCTCTGGGGCCTAGCTGAAGGTGCTTGACAAAAGTCTGGGTCCCCACTGACTCTTCTGTGAGGAAATAGTCACCGCCCTCCCCTGCCCCAGGAAAGGAGCCCTGAAATCCCCTTTCCCTGTGAGCGTGGAATTGTGTGGGGCCCAACGTGCAGCGGCCACCGGGTCTGCCGCTGTCTGCGGAGAGCTCTGCGGGGCCAGCCCCTTCGGTGCCCCCTGCGTCCCAACCGGCAGGGACGGGCCCCTGGAAGACGATTTCTTCGGACACTTGACTTTGATCGGGTCCTGATGTAAAGTGCCTCACGGACCAGCTGGCTCGCTCCTGACGCAGGCCGCCGGCCCCTCTTACCTCTCCTGCAGGGGGTCCTTCGGGCGGGACTCGCTCAGTCCTCCGGGCCCCCGTGGGGCTTACTGTGATGTGTCTTACAGACTGGGTTACGTCCTCTAGCACGTGTGACTGTGCAAAGCCCCTTGGGCTGGTGACCTCCACGGTGGCCGACACTGGACCCTGCAAAGGGACCCTTTCTGTGCTGTCAGGGGCTGGGCTGGCCTCGCTGTCCTCACCAGAGGGCCGGTACAGTTCCTGGGTGGCCCAGCGCTTGAAGCCCAAGCCGGTTGCTGGGGCTGCCACTCCGGGGTCCCCGTCTGGGCTTCCCGGGCCTGGGCTGTGTCGCTTGGCCAAAGTATCTCGCACCACCGACTCCACGGCTTTCTCTATGGCGTCGGCTTCATCTTTGCTCAGCTCCTCCAGGTCTAACTGATCGGCATCCACGGTTTGCGAGAGGTTGACTTCCGCCACCAAAGTCGTGGCCTCCCCGCCTGAGGTCTGGACTTTCTTCACATCAACCGAAAGTTTCCCCAGCCCGCCCTGGCCCTCCGAGGTGAGGGCAGAGAGCTCCTCCTTCACCCGCTCCGGAAGGTTCTCCTCCAGCTGCCCGATCACCTCAACCAGCTGGTGTCTGGGCTCCTTAAAGTCTCTCTTAATGGACATGTGAAACTCATGGGGTATTTTAATCTCCTTTTCAATGACCATGCTTTCAGCATGAAATTCGCCGCTGCTGGTTTGTTCTATCCAATGCGGAGAACCCACGTGCCCCTCCGGAGAAGGTTCTGGAACAGCCGGCGGCTCCACCACCTTCTCTCCCAACACATGGTCCCTCGCCTGTTTTCGCCGAGACACCGGCACGATTTCATCTTGCCAGGAGTACCTGATGGTGGATTCTTCTTCAATGTGGATCTGCCCATACACGGAGCCTTCATCTCTGTCACGCCCGATGTCATGCTCCGGGGACTCATCAGGGGTCGACACAAAATAGCTCTGCTCTCCCTCTGAGTCACCTGCCTCTGTCACTTCTTCAACATGAGTTACGTTCTCTTGGGACAGCTTGGTCTTCTTCAGTTGACTTGCTGAGAACGTGACCTCTGTTTCTCCATAACCTTCCTCCTCAACAAGCCCCTTGGAGCCCGGGGACGCATCGTCAGCCTCCTCCACTTGGAACGGGGTTGAAAACTCATGGGCCTCCCTGTCCCCCACAGAGCTCATGGGCTCTTCGGTGATCTCCACGTTGACCACCTTTGCTCTCCCCTCCCTTCCTTTCAGACCGAGGCTGATGATGTCTCCTATCATCTGCTCAGTGGATTTTCCTTTCAGCCCAACCTTATCCTTCACATCCTTGCCCAAAAGGTAGTCCAGGCTAGCCTCATCGGTCACGTCGATTTCCTCGGTCAGCTTCGACTCCACCACGATCTCCGTCTTTGTTTTCTTGCCACCAGGTAGCTCTTTCCTGCCCACATACGTGACTTTTGTGTCCGGAAAAGAATCCGCAGACACTTCCATGTCAGGAGACTGGGTGAACTGCTTCAGGACACTGGACACGATACTTTCTGCTATGGTTTCGGTCATGGAATCACCTTTCAGAGAGCCCGTGGCGTCCCTGGTGTCCAACCTGAACCGCGTCTCTCTCGTGTCCACCCCTGTGCCTGGAACACCACCACCCGCGTCCTTCTGTCGGGGGGTCTGGGCGCCTTTCGCGGTTCCCTCCGCTGTGCCGCCCCGCGATACTTCTAGACTGATCGGTATCTCTCTCTCTCTTACACGTTTCTCCTTCAGCAACTCCTCCCCTTGCGCCTTGTCCCTCATTTGCTGGGTCTCCCTCATTCTCGCTTCTTTATCTAACTTCGTCAGCTCCTCCCACCGCAGGTTTCTCTCCTCTGAAGCCTTCTCCTTAGAATCGAACAGTTTCTCTTCTCGCTTCGTGTGGGTGGTTCTTGCTCTGTTTCTCTCCTGCTCCGCAATGCCTTGAGCTTCTGTTTTCCTTCCCCAAACGACACTCCTCTCATTGGACCCGGTGCTTTCGGAAGCACCTGCCACCCCATTGTCCCTGCATCCCCGGTATGACTCCCGGGAGAGGGTGGACTCTCGGGCTAAACCACCAGCCTTGGTACCTTCCGGTCTTGGTCTACTAGGGAATGTTTGCACTTGAACTTCAGTATTTCTTGCAAGCCCGGACATTGGAGAGAAAGTCCTGAAGCTGGCTTGACGGTTGGCCATTTTTTCGTAAGCGTCCTCCCGCCAGGAGGTGGTAAGAGGAGGATATCCTGGGCCCAGGAAGCGTCTCCCGGAAGCGCTTCCAACAGCTGTCCGCGACGCGGGCCGAGCCCAGCTGCGAGGGAAGCTCCCGGAAGGTGCCTTGTGCCTCAGAAACAGGTTTCTTTCATTTTCCCTCTGTAACGCCGAGTCGGTATATCGATAGGACGTGTTTCTGAACTCTGTAGGAATGAACAGGCCATTAATATGATGGTCATCATTATCTTTTTTCATCTTCATCCCATCCCATCATAATAAATACAGAAGGTCAGAAAGGTCAGAGAAATACAGAAATACAGAAAGGTCTTTGGGAATAAGATATTTTCAGTCTCCAAACTATCCCATTACAGTAAAATGTAGTACTAGAAATGCTTCACCGCAACGCTTCAGTGACCGATGTTAAAATACTGATTTGTCTTAACAAACATATCAAACGTGTGACTATAAAGCACGACCCAGGTGCTGGAGAGCTGAAGGCGGCTAGTTTTTAAGGCTGAAATTTGACAATATGAACATAATTTGGACTCATTCAGGCCCACGTCGTCGACATCAGTTTACGGCCCTTACTGCCGCGGAGAACTTCGGAGTTACAAAGTACGTACTACGCTCTCAGTTTTCATTGCTTCCCAACCAGGCCTAAAAAGTTAAAAAATTAACTTTTTTTTTTTAAGCTGCTTGATCTCTTTTAGTTTTATACTTCTGTTTTCACTAACTGCTCATTTGAAAAGGTGCCAGCGCAGGGGGCCGACCGGTCACTGACCTCACTGTTTGGGACCATGTCTTGGCCTCGGGGCTGGGAGGCAGTCCACGGGGCTGCCTGCTTTGCTCTGGGCCATCGCGGACAGTGCTACCCGGGGCGGGGGTTGCGGGGGGCGCGGTGCGCATGTTCCACCAGGCACCTGCTGGCAGGAGTGGCAGCTGGCGGTTAGAACGTGGCCGGAGCGCCATTCTCCCTGAGAGCGCCCCCTTGTGCTACCCACACCCATCCCGCCAAGCTGGGCAGAGCCTTCGCTCCCGCCCCGCCTCCGTCCCCCCTCCCCTTGGTCTCCATGGCAACCAAGGCCAGGGACCTCTTTAGGACAGATCCCAGGATACAGGAGCGAGACTGGGATGAGACATTTTCTACAAAGAGTCCTCATTTGGGGTCCACATACTGATGCTAAACCGAGACGTCCCAGAAGGTGAATCCTGGGAAACAGTGCAGGCACGCCCTGGTTTTTAATTACCAGTGAGGTTCAGTGAGAAATTAGCAAGGGCGCCGACGGGAGCTTCAGGCCTATCATCTTGTGGGCAAGTGGCCAACATTACTTGATGCCAAATTAAAAAGAAACAAAAGTGCATCAATCGGCATCGGTAAACTCACTATCTAGGAACGCATCCATACACTTATTCAGTGACCAGTTCACAGGCACCCACTGTACGGGACACAGACCTATTTGGAAACTCGAAGCCTAACAAAGGAGTTCACAAACGATGCTCTTTATTCCAATACTTACCTCCTTGTGGCATGATACAGCATCGCTAAAATAAATGTAGTTTAACAACACTGCCTCTATATCCTTTAAGAAGCTTGAAAAACAACGACTGCATGAAACAAATGACAAGATACCCAGTCGCCTGCTTCCCAAGGTCTTCCTAGGCTCCGAAACCATGGCTAGTCAAAGATGAGCAAGCTCCGGCCCTGAACTACTGGTCCTCCTCAAAGATTTGCCCTGGCCTTTGCTTCCTCTTCCCCTTCTTTTTAACTTATGTGATGGATTGCCAGACTTGTCTCTCCACAGGTAAAAACAAACAAACAAAAAACCCCACTACATGGCCGAATAAACCGTGAACTCGGCTGAATGAATAATTCTATTGTATAGATGTCATACGTTAACTGATGCCTGGCAGGCTGAATAATGTCATTACTGTAGACCGCTTGGCTTTCTCCACACTTACACTCAAAATCCCAAAGCAAGACCGCTGGATATTGTCTAACAATCCCCTCTTCCAGTCACAGGTGCCCAGAACCAAAAATCACTGTTCTGAACCCAGCGACGTGTCAAATCTGTAACATACATAATAGGGGCAACGTTGTTATTATTTTTAAATAAGGATGGAAAGTGTTATTTTTTTAAAAAAATCTACCATCTATCCATATTGGCTATTAATCAGTTTCTCCTGATACTTGTATTCCCAGTCTGCCATGACTTTTAATATGGCCATACACATGGGGACTAAAGCTAATCAATATGCTGAGTAAGATATATATCGAACATATTATAAGTAACTTAATCTGCCCTTGCTTAGCCGCTAGGAAGCTCTTCAAGAGTCTATGGGGTTTCTTTAAAAAAACTATCCTACAGGTGCCAGGGTTCCTTCCAATGAACACTGACTTTCTTACGTCAGTTCTGCAGCTATGGAAAGCAAGAGCTTCATTCTGCAGCTTTTTGCCTGAACCAAGACAGGGCACCTGGTGACGCCTGCCACACGTGCCAACCAGGGGTGGTGGAAACAGTGTATTATCCTTCCCACCTCTGCCCCTGGGAGGGTAGTAAGTTCTAGAGTGTTCACCGCGTCCCTCTACTTGCGCGAAAGCCATGACTTCCGCCCGGAAAGCGTGTGACAAGCACATATCCACTTCCCAGCTCCCCATCGGCCCTGTCTCCTCCCACACCACGATGGACAGGAAACACCCCAAAATAGGGGCTAGCCCTGACTGGCATGGCGCAGTGGGATGGGCATCATCCCGCAAACTGAAAGGTCACCAGTGTGATTCCCAGTTGGTGCACGTGCCCCGGCTGTGGGTTGGATGCGAGAGGCAACGAATCAATGTTTCTCTCTCACATCAATGTTTCTCTCCCTCTCTCTCTCCCTCCCTTCCCCTCACTCTAAAAATAAATAAACAAAAGCTTTAAAAAAAATAAAAGCCTTCAAAAAGCATTGGCTACACAAACACATGAATTTATCACGCACTTTGCCACACATTCTCATTTGCGTTATCATTTAAACTACGGCCCATTGAATAAAATCTATTTGGTACTTCAGAGAGGGCTGAACAACGGTTATCTGCAAAATCGTATCTAATTTCAATTCTTCCAGACAAATGATGCTTCACTATTTATCCATGGAATGAACCTGTTTGGACGGAAAGCATTGTAAAATTCAATAATTAGCTTTTCTTATATTTTTTACCTCGTGGCAGGTTTTCGATGCGCTCAGTCAAGATCAATATCTCTGGATTACGTTCTCCTTCCAATAAGGCTCTGTGGAAATAATTTTTAAAAAACACTCATCAGGAAGTCAAGAGCAAGAAGTGTCTCTGCAAGTCGCGGCAGGGAGTACTCGGTCAGCGACCATAGTTCCACAGTGTCCTGTGCTCCCGGACTCGCATCTGAAGATGCTGCCCCACACAGGGATCCAGACCTGGGCGGACAGAGCATCCATCCAACTGAATGAACAAAATGAGGGGCTAGGGCTTCAGAGCCATCAGAGAGCCCAGTCCTTCTAGAAAACCCTTCCAAACCCAGGGTCCAAAGGAGGAGACAGATGTGAGCCCGGGGTGGGGGCGGGGGCGGGGGGCGCGTTGTGATCAGGGGTCTGGCTCCTCTGGGAAGTGAAGGGCAGCGTATGCATGGCATATCGCCCTGGGCTAGAGAGCCCCCAAACAATTACACTCCTCACTGAGGTCCTTCTGGGGCCACGGGTCAGGGGTTGACCAGGAAGCAGAGCAAGGGCCGACACTGGCTTGTAAATAGGCAAATGTGGTTTTCACACTGGGCTCCATGGATGCATCTGGGAGATTAAAAACAGAGAGAGAGAGGAGAGATGGGAAGCAGGCAGGAGAGGAAAGAGTTGTGGGCCACCCCCCCCCCCCTGCCGAGCCCTACCCCGGGGCCCTCCTTCCACCCAGAGGAGCATCCTGTTTATTGCCCTTACTAAAACGCGCAAAGCACTCGCCCAGCATTCTTTGGCCACGTCTGGTTCCAAAAGCCTAACACTCTGGAGCATTCACTGAGCTGGGATTTGCATCTGAGGAGACACGTCAACCGCAGGCCGGGAGGACCAGGTGTGCTGGGCTGGCACCAGGAAGTCACTTGCTCACAGAGACCCTGGGATGCCGGCCGCAGTGGGCACAACAGCGGCTGGGTTGCTAGGGCAACGTGTGAAGTCACTAACTTGGGTTCCAAGAAAAGCACTGTGTATGGCAAAGGGCAGCCAGCAGCAGTGCCCACTGGAAATGCTGATGTTACCACCGAGAGCCGGGCACAGACAGAGAGACGGGACGCCAGCGGCCGCTGGGCCCCGGCGCTTCAGGCAGACTGGCTCCAAGTTCCACGTCCACTGACTCAGAGGCAGTGATTCCTGCAGATACGGGAACCCCTTGTGTGTGTGGGGGGAGGGGGGAACAAAGCAAAGGAGAGCCCCTTCTGATGAAAACAGCAAAGTCAGCAGCAGCGAAGGGGACAGTCCTCCAGGTACGCGTGGAAGGGTTGGCGCGGACACAGTGACGGACGTGCACGCGTGGGCGGACACCCCCAGATGAGGGGCTGTGCCCAGAGCCCCAGCCCTCCGACCCGGGCGAGCACCAGGAAACAGGACACCAGGCCATTAATACCACACCCTCATGACTATGCACTTCAGGTTCCAGGACCGCAAATAGCTCCCAGCGCAGAGAGCGGAGAAAATGCTGAGGTCTGTAGATAATGAGAGGAACGTTCAGGGGTAGAAGGGAGGGCGGGCGCCCCGGGGTGGCAGCCACAGGAGAGGTGGCTCCCCACAGCTGGGGGCCCAGGGTGGGGCTCGGCGACGAGGCCACGCTCTCGTTCAGACCTGCCCTCGTCTGCCCAGCGGGAATCTCCGGGGGCGCAGGGCTTGTCCCTGGAGCTGCCCAGGCATGACAGGAAGTGCCGGGCCTCCAGGTCAGCAGGCAGGTCGAGGACAGGTGTATGTGCCGAGATGTCCAGGACAACATAGGCCCCCTGGGGGGATACCTTCCCTCGCCCCTCAGAGGGGAGGAGTTTTGTTTGGTTTCCAGGGAAAATCCAAGCCATCGCCAAACTTCTCCTGAGCTCAGGACCCTGAGCAGGGGGCTCGGGTACACAGGCGGGGACGGCGGTCCCCTGGGGCCTTCTGCGGTTGGGTGCTGGTCATCTCTGGAACCCGGGCCTGCACTAGCCTTGGCTAAGACTGAACACCCAATACTCTGTCACCCGCGCTGTCCTCCCGGCAGCCCCACATGCAGAGCCGGTGGTGAGCGCCCTGCCTCGGCAAGTGAGGAGACTGGGCACAGGGAGAGTGTCCTGGCCGGGGCCGCACGGCTCACCAGTGGAGAGTGAGGTGGAACTGGGGCAGCCAGAGCGCTGCCCCTGACCCCTGCGGGGCCCAAGACAGTGGTACTTCACACAAATGTTACAAAGAACAAACCCTGCGCACGGCCCTCCAGACCCTGTTAACGGAAGCATAGTCAACATCTTCTGGTGACTTTAATCAAAACACCCCCACAGGGTTCTCCTACTGGGGAAGGACTCAGTTCCACATTGGCGTCCCCCTCTCGACGGCAGGCACAGGCACGTGTCACCTTCGGCCCCTGAGCACCCATCCGGGGCCTTTAGGTGCGGTCAGGCCCGGGTCATGTTACCCGTGCCTTCATGAACGCATGTCCTTCATCACAGGCACCGGACCCTGCCCTCCGCCAGCACAGCAGGCCAGGAACGCACGACTTCTTCACGCCCTCTGAAAGGCACACCTTTAAGGAAGAGACTCATACCACTTTAAGAAGAAGGGAGAGCACTCTCTGGTTATTTTGAGGTGAGGGAAACGGCCTGCAGGCCCTGGTGACTGGGAGATGCCAACCCCCTGACTCACCGGCTATTCGTGACCGTTACACGCGGCTCCCACAAGTTGGCGGCCTCCTAAGCCGGAGAAGAAGCAAACACGTGGGGGAAACCGAGTCTCCGGCCTCCTGAAGGAGTCGGACAAATCCAGGGGGCAGAGGGAGCTCTAACGTGGCCTCGGGCCAGGCTCCAGGCCCTCAGAGACCCTGTGCCCAAGGCCGCGGGGCTCGCTCTCGGGGACGGATTAGCCCAGTGGATGTCAGGGCCTGCGCGCCACTACTCTGCACTGCGGGCGCAATGTGCCGCACGGTTCACCCCTGAGAGGCCAGGGCAAGGGTTGGGGAGCAGTCAGAGATGTTTCCAGAAGTGACGCTCGCGGGGGAGCCTGCTGCGGTCCTGGGGCCCCCCACGTGGGCTTTCTGGGTACGGGCAGGTGGGAGCCAGGGAGGGAAAGAGGGGGAGCTGGGAGAAGGGGCCTCAGACCTGCGTGCCTGGCCTCCACGCTCCAGAGAGCGGGGCACTGCCTGTCGCCCAGACTTGGGACTGGGCACGGGAGGGCCGGGGAGGAGGGAGGGACAGAATTCCACTCGCAGGAGAAGCGCCACCATCTCCGTCAGAAAGGAACTGTTCCAGTGCACAGGCGTCATGGGGAAGTGAACAGTGAGGACCAGGAGCCATGCTTTGCTGGTCATTCCCTCTGTGCTTGGCATTAAATCCCACATAAAGCCTATTCGTCCATTGTAGAGACCGGAAAAAAAAGGTCCAATGATTGACAGACCAGCATAGCCAATGAAACACAGGAATCACAGGGAACGGTTAATGGAGAGGCCGCAGGACTCAGGCTGCCTGGATTTAAATGCTGGGCCCGCCACCTCCCAGTCTTGGGACCTTGGGCAAAGCCGCTCATACCCTCTGTGACTCGGTTTCCCCCTTTCTGAAATGGGGGCCGGCACAGGATTGTGGAGGTAAGTAACTGGAAAGTTCTTATGCCAACGGCTGCCACGGAATAAGTGCTCAGTAAATGTTAGCTTTGTCGTCAGCATCATCTTCTGCTGAGCTCAGAGAAAAAGCTGATTTAAAGTTAGCGAAAGTCCTTCCAGAAGGGAAGAGATTCGGGTTCGCGGAGGGTTAATTCATTTATGCAACAATGCGGGATGGCTGGCGTCCAAATGTACATGTCGATTCTCCTCATTATCTACCCTTAAAACTAAGATTTTAACTTCAAATAGTTCACCTAGTAACCAGCTAAGTCTCAGCACCACTCACTTCTATGAGCTCTCAAGAAAGTAGGATTTAAATTTTCCAAAAACAACATGTATCCTCCCCAAGACCTTGAGAAGTCCCCAAGACACATTTTCCTTTGGACACGGGAAAAGAGATAGATGGCCTAAGAAAAAAAATGGAGCCTCCAGAAACATCATTCAAATGATGACATTACAACCGTTAGGAGTGATCTGTACTTTCTCATTACAAGTCTACACCTAGAGACATTATTTTCCTCAGTTAAAACACACTGTTTGTGCCCTGGCTGCATGGCTCGGTTGATTGGAGCATTGTCCCGTGCACCAAAAAGGCTGCGGGTTCGATCCCCGCTCGGGGGACATATGGGAGGCAACCAATAGATGTTTCTCTCCCACATCAGTGCTTCTCTCTCTCTCCCTGCCTCTGCTCTCTAAACAGCTTGCATGCCTTCCCCCTGCACAGACATGGTTTTTTAATGTTGTCGTTTCCACCTTTTAAAGGACTTTTCCCTTGGAGTCCATAAACAGTAAATCCTTGTGTTCCTTCCACTTTCCCATCTGGCCAGTCAACAGTCCCTTTGACGTTTTTCTTCTGAAAAATCATTTGGCCCTGCGTTCCATGTTTTCAGGTAATATTCAGAACAACTGTTCTACGCTTCACCCCCAAATCATAAAAGACAAAGCCTCTCTTTTAATGGCAATGGAGACAGAGTCATCTGTGTGCTGGATAAGATCCAGGACGGGCCTCTTCTTATTTCAGGTTTGTGGTTTCTGGACTCAGTTTATTCCTAGGTAGTTGTGCATGTTTTTGTTTCAATTTTGAAGATCTTGTTTTCTTCCCCATTATATTTTCTAACCGCTCTTTCCTGATGACTGAGTTCTGACTGAGAAGGCTGCTGATTTTCTAACTGTGCTTTCTATAAATTCCCAAGCGGCTGGGAAGACTTTTCTTTTTTTCTTTAACATTTTATTTACTTTGAGAGAGAGGGGATGGGAGGGAGGAAGAAAGGGAGAGAAACATCGATGTGAAAGAGAAACATTGACCGATTGCCTCTTGTAGGCACCCAACCGGGGACCGAACCCGTAACCGAGGCATGTGCCTGACCGGGAGTGGAACCGGCAGCCTTTTGCTTTGTGGGATGATGCCCAACCCACTGAGCCACGTGTGTCGCGGTTGGGCCAGGTCTTCACGTCAGCAGTGGGAGGGGTTTGAGGACACTGCAAGGAGGTCCTGGGTCATTCTACCATTTTCACCCTCTTCAGATAATCAGCTAATTCGGGAGGAGCAGCTGCCCCCGGGGGAGATTTCGGGGTCCGGTGGTCTAGTCTGCAGGAGCGCGTAATAAGCACTCCCTGCTCCGCATTCCCACCCCGAAACCCCCGCCCCCCTCACTGCCCGCACCAGCCAGGCTCCGAGGCCTTGGCCAGTCCTACACGGGGGCTCCCTCAGCCACCTGGGTCAGGTCCTTGTCACCTGCCCCTGCCCACAGACACACGCGCCTCCTCATCATATTTCCTGCCAGGTGTGGCACCAGGCCTTCCCGAGCCACCAACCAGCCAATTCTGTTTGCTGAAATCCTCAAGTCTTTGACTCGGACGCTCGCTCTGTTTTAACTTTATTATTCTATTACACAGGTACTTATTAACTATAAGTCTATAATCTTGAATTATAAATTATACGATTTTACTTTACTTTAACGTCTCGTCTTCCCTTTGAGGCTTACCAGGAAGGGCCAGGTATCTGGGCTCGGAAGTGTCCGTGACACGCGACACGCGAGAGCTGGCCTCAGCGTAGCTGACAAATTCCAGCTGCACTGGCGTGCGCTCTCAGCTTTAAAGGGCCACAGCCTCACATATGATATGGCAACTGGGCCGTGCTGGGGGAGGGGCCCCCGCAGGGGAGACTGGGACAAATCCGCAGGACGTCGTCAGTCGGGGAGGACGCAATGCCATCCTCTGCCTCTCTCGACAGGGCTGGCGAGAAGTCGCACTGCACAGGCCTCTGCACTGTGTCCTCATGGAGCCACTGTCCCTGCCGCCCCCGGGAAGGCAGAGCGTGCCAGAGAGACGGTGGGTCAAGCCGGGCAAAGATCCAACAGGCGCTCGTGAAAGGGCCGGAAGCACCAAACGGCGCTAACACAAACCTGAATTTTCATGCTTGTCGTCAGAATCTGGGGCATTGGCACAAAACCCTGAGAGTCACAGAAGAGATGACAAGGCCTTATCTACAGGAGGTGCTCATCAGTGATTAAAAAAAACAAAAAACAAAAAAGAGCCGGGCTTTTGGCTTCTGTGAGGAAATGGGTTGTCTCCAACTGCCTGCATGTCGTTTGGACCCCGAGCGCCGGGGTGTGGGCGGCCTGCAGCAACCCTAACCACAGACGCGGGTGTCGATGCGGGCAGGGCTGGGCTCCTTCTCTGCTCCGAGCAAACTGGGCCTTCACAAAGACGTACAGTGCAATCAACCACTCGCTTCCTGGAAAGGACTGATACCTCCTACCTCCCTGGGGGTGGCCAAGTCCCTCCCACATTGGGTTAGGGAAATGCCAGCGACACAGAGGCGGTACACGCCGTCCCCAGTGACCGACAGTCAGGTGACAGGAGCAGTGCCCCTTGGGAAAAGCTAAGCTGGTAGGGATGTGAGCACCTACCCAGAAGGTAAGGCCCTGGCCTCTCAGGCAAGATGCCCACCTGGGCCCTCCCTCTCTTCACGACAGAGCAAGGCACAGCGAGGAGGGAAAGGGTTCAAAATCCCAGACACAAAGCACACAATCAGAGTCTCCTTACTCCAACCCAAAGAGGAAAGAGGAAGATCCAACTGTCCCTGTAGGGAAGAGTCACCGGGCATCAGGTGAACCTAAAGCGAGCATCGATGTGGTTTTTCTGGGCCCGCCCAGGATACTTGGGGGACCTCCCACTCCAGCCTCAATCGATGTGACCTCTTCCAAGCTCTACAGCACTTTGCCCCCTGGCCAGGGATGGGCACATGACCCAACAGAGCCCGCAAGCTGGGCCCTGGAGTCCCACTGGGAGGCTCGGGGAACAGCCTGTCCACACAGCCAGAACGACAGCCGGGAGCCCAGCCTTACCGGTAGGTTGCCACCTCCAGGCTGAGGCCGGTCTTCACCTGCACGAGCTCCTGGTAGTCCCGCAGCCGGTCGGCCATGGCCAAGGTGAGGGCGGCCTTCTCATCCTCCAGGTGGGTGATCACACTCTAAAAAGGACAGAGGGTTTTCCGATCAGACAATGGGAGCTTTGCTGGGTCGGACTCAGGGTACCAGCAGCTCAGGATGCAAACAGACACGACAAACCTCCAGGTTAATTAGAGATGCCATCAGGGCAAGGATGACTTTAAACACCATGTTTGTTCCACATAGAAGGTTTGTGTGTGTGTGTGCGTGCGTGCGTGTGTGTGTGTGTGTTTATTGCCTATGTAAGATTTTAGCAAGACACCGGCTTTTCTCTTTCTACTCTCTAAAAACAGTGAACGCTTAACGGTTTATGAAAGCGTCTCCAATCCAGACACCAGGCTGCTGCAGAAAGTCGATACATCATCAAACCGGTCAGCTGAGATGCTCTTGAAAATAAGATAAGACCAGAAAGTAGAGTTTTACAATATTTGAAACAGAACTCAATCTGATTTGAAAGAGAATTTCCCCCGGACTCATGATTTCCCCAATAATAAGCAGGTAAGCTAATGCGGGGCTGTTTCACTCAGAAAAGCTACTTTGAAATCATCTGGGGAGAAAAGCTACATAAATGAGACAGGAATACATTCTGGGCATAAATGTCAAAATTCAGAACCGGAAATAAATCTTTTTTTTTTACTGTACTTGCAGGATAGTTCATAGGGCATGTGTTCACATGACTGGTCCATCTTTTATGCTGGTTAATTACATCTGTCCATCTCTCCCAAGGAATTGTATTACAAAGGAAATGATCAAAGTCCTATCACCCTCCTCAAACTGTATTAAGTTGTCAATATCTTTTAATTAATAAACACAATGGCTCCCTTCATTCCACTGGCCAGTTTTGCATGACGCTGTTCCAGCTGTGCCTCGCATTTTATAGTTAACCTTGGAAATAATGAACCGAGCAAATATTTAAACGCTGAAATAAGCCCATACACTTTAACTTCGGGTTTGTCAGGGGAAATGACATTATTCCTGAATACAATGAACAGGCTACATTTTTAGCCATTTAGCTAAATGTGGCATTCAAAAGTTTTAAGATAATCAGGAGAGGGCATCTCTTTTCATTCCTGGTGTAATCCCCTGCCAAAGGCGCTGGCAGAACGTGAAGGTCGACAATAAATAGGTCATTTCTGTGAAGCCAAGGAATGTCCTTATCTAAGATCTCACACTAGATTTGCCATTTTAAAAAAATGCATGATAAATACTTCTGCTTCCCTTAACAGTTTCACTCCTAAACTAGTGATTGTTGTTTGGTTCTGCGCGTGTGAGTGTGTGTGTGTGTGTGTGTGTGTGTCAGTAAAAACAAAAACTGAGCCCACTTAGCACTTATTTACATTTTTTGGAGGATTTTATTTATTTACTTTTAGAGAGAAGGGAAGGGAGGGAGAAAGAAGGGGAGAGAAACATGGATGTGTGAGGGATACGTCAACTGGCTGCCTCTTGTAAGAGCCCAGACCAGGGACTGAACCCGCAACCCAGGCATGTGCCGTGGCAAGGAATCGAACCGCTAACGTTTCACTTTTTGGAATGACGCCCAGCCAACGGAGCCACACCAGTCAGGGCTGAACCCACTTAGTTTTTAAAAGCAAAGGACTACATTGAAGAACTGCTAGCTGGGATCCCCAGGACGACAAAAGCCAACAGTCCCCAAAGCTGGCATTATAAATAGATACAGAGGTTTACCAATGCAGACCACTGGCCAGCCTTGACTTAAGTGACCGAGTTGCCAGAATTTAGCCATGACCCTCATACATTCTATAGCTAACTACCGCCGTTAAAACCCTATGTTCACCCGCTCTAGAATATAAACTCTTGTACCTGACTATAAACTCAGCGACAAGGTTGGAATATAGGATATAAATATGTTATTCCTTTCGACTGTAGGAAATTCAACTTGAATATTAAAACTTCAGACTGTCGTAATTCATTCTTTTCAATGACGTTCAATTATTGTTAAACTGCTTTGGGAGAAAAATATCAGATGCGCTCAATTCTCCTGCCACAAAGCTCCTGAGCAGGCCAAGGTCTCCGAGCCACGCCAGAGAGGTGCGCACAGAGGCTCTCCCCTCCAAGAGGGCTCCGCATCGTTCTGCACCCCCCGAAACACAAAGAAGAGAATCAAACTGTGTGGAAGCTAGAGCAAGTATTGTTCCAGCCACATTTCCATGTGAGTCAACCCTTCCTAAACTGCCTAAAGGAAGTGAGCTGACATTTGGAAGCAGGAACATGAGAAGCATTGGCTCCCGACACTCCCCAGAGAAACCGAAGTCCATGTTGCAGATGGAATGAGGCTTCGGACGTGGGCTGTCCTTTGCCACGTTTTCAAGGCGTGGGCCCGGCCGGCGGCCCCGGGGCCTGAGGCACAGCCTGTGAACTCAAACCCAGGCAGAGGCAGCCTCGCCTAATGCCGTAGCGCCGGGAAGAGAGGGGCCTGATTCACTTGCCATTTAGGGGACTTCTGGCAGCGTTACCCCTGATACATACCAGGGGCGGCCGCTGCTGTTCATGTCCAAAGACTTCTCTGTCTCTTAACTGAACTTGAGCAGCTCCTTGCGGAGCAAGCCACCCAGACATGACAGGAAGAGCTTGCAAATGTCACTGTTACATCACCGGACTCATCAGCATTAGAGCTCCAGGGAATTTAAAATGCGGTAACGTCACGTCTAAATGTGTTGCCTCCTTCAGACACAAAAACGAAGTGTATTAATAATCATAAGCACTGATTGGATGCTAAGTAAGTATTTATAGCTTGGGACCAGACACTACTCTGAACTCTAGGCATACAATTTTTTCTTACAACATCAGGTGCGTGTCTCTGCTCTCCTGCCCCGCCCTCGTCCGCCAAGAGGGCTCCCTTCATTCGGCCGCTCAGACCACAGCCCTGGCGTCGACTCTGATTCCTCCTCCCCATCCAGTCCACCCACAAACCCCACTGGCTCCAAATCCAGAGGAGATTCCTGCCTCAGCCCCCTCCCTCTGCGTCTGGCCCGAGCCTCCATCCCCTCCCCTCCTTCCATTCCCACCCTGCAGTCTATTTTCGACATAGCAGCCAGAGCGATTCCACGAAGACACAGCCACGCCACCCCTCGCTCTGCTCAGAGCCCTCCGGTGGCGCCCCACGGCTCTCAGAGCAAGGCCCACGCACCCCGGCTCACACCGCTCCGCCCGCAGCCGCCTCCTGAGCACTGTGTGCCGTTTCCGATGCGAGACCTCTCAGGCCCAGGAACGTTAGCTGAACCTACGCACCCCGTGAGCTCTTTTCACAAATGGGGGAACTGAGATACAAACAGTGGCGGAGGCAGAATTCAGGCCCAGGTAGGGTGGCGGCTAACCTGTCCCCATTCCAATCAAGAGCAAGTTGTCATTCAAACAGGAGACCTGCAGGCCTGTCACAAATGGCCTCAGTTTCTCAAGCAAAAGTCTCCACGTTTACAGGGCAAGGCTGGCGTAAATTGCACCTCTTACTGTTTTTGTCTGAAGCCCCTTCCTGAATCCTAGAAGACAGGGTGCATTACTCGGACCTGCAACAGAGCTGAATGACGCATGGAATGCTGGGAACTTGGGTGTTACTTCAGCAAACTTTTCTCTGCAAATCTGAGGCAAGGAGCCTGACAGAGACAAGGCAGCTGGGCCATCTGGGAAGGACCACTTTTCCCAGAGAGTCCTAGCGAGCACCTTGCGCCCTCGAGCTGCAGAAGGGGGTCAGACCAGGCACACGCTGGGCACTGTGTGGGGGCTGCTGCCTCCAGACCAGTCGGGAGGAGTTCCCATTAAACCATATGGAAAAAGTAAATAAAAGACTTAGCACTAAAACTATTCTGACATCTGCCAGCTGGAGAAGTCTGATAGCATTTTAGAATCTCAGATGAACAGGGCAAGGCCTCCCTCTGGGCTACCCTTAGGAATTACCATTATTCTATGAATGCAGAGTGAATGCTGGTTAAAAGTTTACACATGTCCATCCATGCTTTTTTCTTGTTTAGAGGTTTTAAGTGTACAACGCAATAACGCATCATGTGCACGCTGCATCGTGCGCTCACCATCCGAAGACAAATCTCTTTCTGCCACCATTTATCCCCCCTTTGCCGTCTTCCACCTGCCCCACCCCCCCCAAAGTTTATCTTTGGCAGAACAGAGAGAAGAAAGGACATGTGGCCCAGTGGTTAGCTGCTGGGGCACAGCGCCTGAATCAAACCCTGGCTTAGCTACTTACTAGGTTACTTACTAGGCTACTTACTTACTTTGTGACTCAGCCGCACCTGCAAAATGGGGCTAATATTAATACCCCCGTCATAAGATTGGTGTGAGGACTGTGCGTAAACACACAGAAAGGGCTTTACTCCTTCCTGTTTACTTTTAGGGGAAAGAAGTAAATTTCACTGAGAGAGGTGTCCCTGGACAGGAAGTTGAGGGTGGGATCCTAATCCCACCCTCAGGTCAGGTGTGGCCCCCGGCAAGGCACCTCCTTGTGTCAACGGAGAGCTCTTGACCGTTGGTGCTAACCACAGTTCCCAGGTCCCCACCTGTCCTCCAATCAGAGGGATTCTTCTTTTACCTGCTTCCTAGCTGGGACTGCATTTAAGATTTAATTAGTGGGAAAAGGGTTTTTTCTACTGCTAAAGAGAAACACAGAAACCAGAGCTTCGAGGTCTGACATGAGCCAAGCAAGCTATGACAGCAAATGAATGGTGAGGATTTAGCCCTGGTTGGTGTGGCTCAGTGGATTGAGTGCTGACAGGAACACCAAAGGGTCACCGGTTCGATTCCTGCTCAGGGCACATGCCTGGGTTGCAGGTCAGGACCCCAGTGGGGAGGCACACCAGAGGCAATTACACATGGATGTTTCTCTCCCTCTCTTTTTCCTCTCCCTTCCCCTCTCTAAAAATATATAAATTTAAAAAATCTAAAAAAAAAAAAGAGAGAGAGAATGGTGAGGACTTAGCCCACACAACACGCCTCAGAGAAGCATTTTCCAAACCCACTTGCACAGCAAGATCCCTCTCTCCCAAATCTTCCCAAATCTTTAACTCAAAGCTACAAACTGTTCCCTGAAAATGCTTCTTAATTTATGGGGATGTTATTTTAAGCTGCCCTCCTGAGAAACTACTGATAGTATGATTTGGGAATAGTTCCAATTCTGGCCTAGACTGGGCGGGACCGGGGCCAACGCGAGGACTGGACTGGGCGTCCGGACAATAAATCAGACACAGGTGTCGCTGTGGCCCCGTCACAGGTTCGAGCTTTGCTTCTCTGAAATAGTACCTGTTTACATTACTCTGTACTTGTCATAACATCCTGCCACAGGGACCCATGTTTCCACCACTTTTACACTACCCAGAGATCTGACTTCAGCTTTACCATGAAAAAAAAAAAACAACCTCTGATGAAGCTCTTTTCTGCATTAAGGCTGCCGCCTCTCCCAGAGCAAACAGGGTAGAGGCACAGGGAACCACAACAAGCTGCCTCCAGCTGGGAACTCATTCCCGCAAAATCGAAAACCGTTTTTGGGAAAGAGCTTTAGTTTTCCCCCAGGGGAGCCCCAGAGCCAACGGGGCTGCCGTTCTAAATGGCTCCGCGTAAGGTCTTGACATGGCCCAGAAACCTCCCGGGAAGGAGCCTATCCGGGAAGGGTGGCGCTGTCACTCCTGAAGTCGGAAGCGCTTCTTGGTTGACTAGCATGTGTACTAGGGTCTAGGAAGCACAGGAAACTGAACAGAGAACCTAGAACTGATGGCGCCATTTGTCAGGATGCGCCCAGTCATGTCCAGGTCTAAAGAAGTGGCCAACCTAACAAGATGACAGGGACAGGGCTATCCACCTGGACCTGGCACTTGGCTCTGGCCCGCTGAGTCAATGGACCAACGGCCCCAGCTCTTTTTCCAGAGCTGCCGAAATGCGAGGACCCTGAGGTCCCGCGGCAGAGCAAGGGGCCGCTTCAGCGTCCTGGTCACCAGTAGGTTCGGGCACCATGGGGGACGACCCCACCCATCCGCGACGCGGGTGAAGGCGCTGGGGATCCAGGGAGGCCCGCCGCTGCCCCGCCCCCTACAGGGCGCTCAGGGACCGGGGTGGGGACCATCCCTGAGAACGGACCTGCCGCTCCTCGGCCTGCAGCTCGTAGGCCTCGCGCATCCGCAGCAGCTCATCCTCCAGTAGCGCGCGGAGCTGCTCCAACTCCAGCGCCTGGTGCTGCAGCGCCTCCGCCTCCTGCGCGCACAGCTGCCTCTCCTCCTCGGCCTGGCGCCGGCTCTCCTGGCTGCGCCGCAGTGCCTCCTCCAGCTCGCGCACTTCATCCTCGTACAACTGCACGGTCTCCCGCCACGACTCGGCCACCAGCAGCGTGTAACTGTCGTGCACTTCTTGCAGGCGCTGCGGGGGCGCGACGGGGCCGGTGGCGCGGGCGCTGTAGCTCAGGGTCAGGCCGGCTGAGCGCGCGCGAAGTTCCCGCACGTCGCGCTCATGGGCCGCGTCGAGGCCACGGCGCTCGGCTTGCAGCCGGCCCAGCAGCGCCTCAAGGGCCGCGCGAGCGCCCAGAGCCTCCTGCAGTTCGCGCCGCTCAGCGCTCAGCTCGGTGTCCAGGCGGCGGCGGGCAGCGCGCGCCTCCTCAGCCCGCAGCTGAAGCTCCCGCAGCTCGCGCCGCAGCGCATCGCGTTCTCCCTCGGCCAGCGCCGTGGCCCAGCTCAGCTCGTCCAGCTGCTGCCGCAAGCAGCGCGCCTCCTCGGCCCAGCGGGCCTGCCCCTCGGCTACCAGTCCCTCCTGCCCGCGCCGGCCGCGCAGCTCCTCCTCCAAGAGCAGGTTTTCGCGCTCCAGCTCCCGCACCCGGCGCACATAGTCGTAGAGCCGGGCGTTGAGCTCCTGCAGCTCAGCCTTTTCGTGGCCCGTGTGCAGCCGCAAGGATAGCATCTTTGCTGGTTGTGCAGGGCGCTGCCGGCCGGCCGGTTCCCTCCTGCCCTGGTCTTGCCCCCTCTGCCGCGCCGCTCCGGCCCCGCCGCCGCCGCCCGGGAAGCCCGCAGACTGCGGCGGGAGCCGGCGGGCAGCTGCACTTAGCGGACCAGGCGCCCGGAAGGGGGCGCGCGGGCCACGGCCTCCAGCCAATCAGAGCGCGGCCAGGTGCCGCCAGCGCGGCCGCGCGGCGCCCCCTGCCGGAGTGGCCGCGGCGCCGGGAGGCTGTTCGCCTCAGGGTCCGGTGGCTCCCTGTCGCCGGCTGCCGGGTACCAGCGGGTGGCGGCTCGCTCGCTGGGCAGCGCTCTGTTCTAGAAGGGATGCCTGGGAAGTCTCCCTGTTGCTGCCCTGTCGCGCGCACCTACGGCACCCAAGGGTCCCGGCGTTCATGGACGGAACTAGAAGCCACCATTAGGTGAGAAGCCGTGTTGGTCGCGAGGCCGGGTGTCAGCGACCCTGGAGATTGGAGGATTTTCTATCTTTAAAAATTTTATATATATATATATATATACACACACACACACACACACACACACACACACACACACACATACATGGATAGCATATGTATATGACCTATTGTACACACATATATGCACATATGTGCTTTATATATTGCATTTTAACTTAAAACATAAAGGCATATCCCTTTGCCAACGTTTCGATGTACAAACACGACTTTTGACAAGGGGCCCCGGAGTTCCACGTTTTCCTTTTTATGTAAACTCTCCACAGGGACCTGGTCTGCACTTTCCAAAACCAGTTTCTTTCCTTTGGAGTGAGAACTTGGGAAGTGCTCCAAGGGCGGGATTTTTCTGGACACCGCACATGCCCCCCAAACGCTTGCAGTTGTCACCCCTACACTGGAAGTGCCAGCTGTCTTTTTTTTTTTTTGCAACAACGTGCCCCAATTACATCGTCCTAGAAACCACAACTCGTTTGCATGCTTGCGTTTCACTTGTTTGCCTGACAGTTGTTGGAAGTTACAGGTGGCATAATCAGTCCAAGTGGCATTTAGGGGCGCAGGAGCAAACCCGGCTGGCCCTGGGTTGGGGTGCCCCTGGATTAGTGGTGACAGAAGTTGGGGTGGGGGCTGGGGGGTCATCCACTGGCCGGAGGGCTCCTCTGGCTGGGCCACCGGTCAGTGTGTTTTGCGATGGCACGGAAAGGCGAGTTGGCCGGCAAGTTGTTCAGGGACGGTCCCTCGGGACAGCTTCAAGCACTGCCCTTGAGACCGCGTGAGTCTCCAGCCACAAATGGGGCAGAGTGGGCTTTAGTTTTACTAGAGACCCCGTATCACCAAGTTTATTTGTCAGGTGGTAGAAATTAATATCTTTCAGGTCAGAAGTCATCTCCCTTTCTGCCAAGGCTAAGCAGGGACAGGGTGGAGTTCGGTGCCAAATTGACGTGCCCTAAAATAGGGAAAGTCGGGGTTCAAGTCCTGGTTTGGGTAGCAATCGGTGTTGCGATTATGGCCCCCCCCCCCCGTCAGGACACAGCTTCCTTGGCTGTCATTACGGGACTCGGGCTATGTTACCCCCAAGGGCCTGGGGCTCCCAGCCTCCAAGACGACCCCAGTAACCTCACCTACTGCCGTTCACTCCCTCATTGCGCCAGTGCCTGTAGGCATGACATCTCGCGTTTGGGTTACAAAAAGCACCGCGGCTTCCTCGTTTGTCATGCTTCCTTTTCTTCCTGTCCCACACTCTGGGGGACGTCGGATGCCATGTCCTGCCATGGGCAGCCCTTCAGAGAGGCCTACGCCGTGAGGAAATGTAGTCTGAGACCCCAAGTCTTCCACGAGCTGTCATCAGCCCTGAGTGAGCTGCGAAGCGGATGATTCACCAGCCCCAGCCAACCCTGGAGACTCATACAGCCCGGCCCCCAGCTTGCCTGCGGCTTCCTGATAGACCCCGAGCCAGAGGCACCCAGCTAAGCCACTCCTGGTTCCCAGCCCTTGGCAGCCGCGAGATAACAAATACTTGTTGATTTGGGATTGCCTCTTAGGCAGCAACAGATAACTAATACAGACTGTTCTGGGCTTTAAAACCTTATCAGCCAAAAGCCCCTGAATCACAGCTATAGCATTCAGGGGAAAGCCGGATTTGTCACAATTACCAGTCTTCCCCTGCCTCCCCCAGCCAGAATCCATAAAGAGATAATGCCAAATATGCCCAGAATAGATTTTGGAGTTACACTATTTATTTTATATGTGTGTATAAGAGTTCCCAGAGCTTTGTTCATTTTGCCTCACTGAAGCTTCCTTTCGCCAATGAAGGTGGGAATCCAGACAAGTTAGGTGATTGGAACAATGCAAATGTTTGTTGTCACATGTGCATGTCTTCAGTGGTGAATAAAAATGAGACGCAGTCTGGCTTTGTTTCACCCCAGCCTCATGGTGAGAAATTTGTCCTGAGCAGAGGTGACCCTTGTAGAAATCTTCCCAGGCAGCCGCGGGCCCAGGGGAACCCCGAGTGGGAGGGTGGCCGGTGGCAGGACAGGGCAGCCGCTGGAGGGAGAGTGCAGAGGACTGAGCCACCTGCAGAGAGGGACAGGCTAGCCATGGGGCTCCCACGTCTGCCTGGATTAAGAAAAGACTTTTGACAGGACAAGAGGTGACAAGTACTGACTTGCTGTTTGAAATGAGACCCCAGGATGCACGGGGGATAAGAAGGAAATGGAAGGCATGGAGGGTCAGACTCCAGGCGGAAAAATAGGACCACGCAGGGAATCTAGCCAGAGACTCGGGACAAGCTCACAGCCAACAGTAAGATAAAGAATAGAAGCTAACCCTGGCTGCTGTGGCTCAGTGGATTGAGCAACAGCTTGTGAACCAAAGGGTTGCTGGTTCGATTCCCAGTCAGGGCACATGCCTGGGTTGCACCCTGAGTTATGTTTTCAAATAAAATCTTTTTTTAGAAAAAAACATAGAAGATAGCCAGCACACAGAGGCCCTCCCCATTTTCCCCTCCACCTCTTTAAAACCGTAGACTGATGTAGCCAGCTTAATGGAATTACACAGCACTCCTTCTTATGTATCTGACTTCTTTTATTCAACATAGCAGTGTCCTTTGTAACAGCCCAGAATTGGAGACAAACCCAAATGCCCAGGAACAGAAATAATGAGTAAGTGAACGGTGATCTATTCACACACTGTAATCTCGCCCAGCACAGCAACCCTAACAAATGACCTGTTGCTACAGGCAGCAGCGTGGATTAATTTCACAAACATGGGATTGAGTAAAAGAAGCCAGACTCAGAAGAATATACCATTCAAAAACAAACAAAACTAAGTTATGGGGTTAGAAATCGGAGCTATGGTTCCCTCCGGGGGTGACAGAAAGCAAAATAAAATGTCCCAGGAGTTTCTCAGTATTTTAAATCGTAGCCATTATAATGGATGTTTAACAGTTCGGGTTTAGGGTTGGCATTGGGGATGGTATTAAGGTTAGGATTTTACATTGTCTTGATTACTGATGAGGTTGAATGTTTTTTCATGTATTTATTGGCTACTCATCTGTGACATGTCTGTTCATTTCTTTGGCCTATTGTTTTGTAGAGCTCTGTGTGTGTGTGTGTATGTGTGAGATTAACCTATTCTAGATAGAAGTCCTTAAATGTATGGTTATTTCTTGCATCTATGGTTATGTCTCTGTGCTTATAGGTTTTGCAAATATCTTCTCCTACTCTACGTCTTGCCTTTTCTCTTTCTTAATGGGGTCTATCAACAATTGAGACATAATTCACATTCCATAAAAGACACCCATTTAAAGCGAACATTTCAGTGGTTGCTAGCATATTCACAAAGTTGTGCATCTATCATCACAATCTAAGTCTAGAACATTCTCATCAGCCCCACAAGAACCCCATTCCCATTAGCCATCACCTCTCCCTTCCTCTTTTTCCCATCTCTGGCAGCCACTAATCTATGGTTTTGTCTCTATGGATTTGCTTATTCTGAACATTTCATATAAACAGAATAATGAACTGTGTATTCTTTTGGGTCTCGCTTCTCTCACTTAGCATGTTTTCCAGGTTTATCCATGTGGTAGCCTGTATCAGGGCTTCACCCTTTCCTATGGTGAATGCTGTGCCACTGTGTGGGTATAGCAGACTTCGGTAGCTCCTCAGTTGATGGACACTTGAGCTGTGTCTACTCTTTGGCTATTATGAATCGTGCTGCTGTGAGCAGGCTGGTATTGAACATATGTTTTCAATTCTCTTGTATTGAAAGCTAGAGAATTGGAATTGCTGGATTATATGGTAGCTCTATGTTTATCTTTTTGGGGAATAGCCCAACTTCTCAAAAATGGTCTCACCATTTTGCATTCCCACTAACAAGGGGTGAGGATTCCAATTTCTCCACACCCTTGTTTATATAAGTCTGTCATCTGGGCTGGGTGTCCTGGAGGATGTGCAGTGGATTTTCCTTTTGGTTTTGATGTGCATTTCTTTAATGACTAATGATATCTGGCATCTTTTCCTGTGCTCCTTGGCCATTTGCATATCTTCTTTGGAGAAAGGTTTATTCATATCGTTTGCCCATGGTTTAATTACATTGTTTTTTCACTGTTGATTATATTGTGAGATTATTTATATATTCTGGATACAAAATATTTGATATGCAAATATTTTCTCCAATTCTGGGTGTTGCCTTTTCACTTTCTTGATAGCATCCCATGAAGCACAAAACATTATCATTTTTATGAAGTCTAACATCTATTTTTACCTTTGGTCCCATGTGTTTTGGTGTCATGTCCAAGAAACCACTTGCCTAATCCAAGGTCAGGGAAGTTTTCGCCTATGTTTTCTTCTAAGAGTTTTGATAGTTTAAGCTTTGGTCTGCGATCCACATTGAGTGAACATTGGGATAGGGTGTGAACTGGGAGTCCAGTTTCATTCCTTTGCATGTATTTGGTGGTTGCAGCACTGTTTGTGGAAAACACTGTTCTTTCTCCTATTGAATTGCCTTGGCTTCCTTGCAAAATCAACTGGCTATAAATGTAAGGGTTTATTTCTGGATTCTCAATTCTCTTCCATTGATCTGTGTGTCCATCCCTAATGCCAGTA